AAAGAAAGAATACATTTTGATTAGTCATACCGAGATTAAAGCAAAATCGGTTTTAAAATGTTATTTCACAAGTATTAGTCAGTTCACCAAGTTTACAAGTCGTTATGGTGTCACCTCCATCGTTGGGAACCAGAAAAAAGAAGGAGTTTACTAAAGAAATTCTTTAAACATAGATTGTGGATTAAAAATTTAACAAACAAACTAGGAGTTATTGAATAAAACATTATTCAAAAAAGTATAACAGAACGCAAGAACACAAAAACTAACGAGAATCACTTTACTCCGGGGATGCAGAGTGGCGTGATTCGTTGGGCCATCACAAGGTTATCATCAAAAACTACGAGATAGATAACGGGACAAACGACATCCGAATCATAGAATAACTCAGAAACCGTGGATTTCAAAGTTTCAATTGTCGATACCTGGCTGGCAACCAGCTGAGTGCTGGCTGAATCCACTAGATTACACCAGGTACTGCTCCTTCCCTTCCTCGCACGGTTCGAAAATGATCCATTTTCAACCGATTAACTTGCTCTCTCTTCTTGAGCTTACCTTTTCTTGTGGCGATTTCATGCTTTTAGACCTGATCATGAAGTTTCCTTAGTAAAACGCCGTAGTGATAAATGTAACATCATGAATCTCACCGAAGACCAAAATCCTATGCGCCTAGGCGCAGAACATTGTGGCTCGTTCCCTGGAATGGAGAAAAGAGATGTGATAAGAACGAAAAGCGTTCATGTGCATTCCCTGGAGAGGTAGATAAAATTCAAAAGATAGGAAGAGTTTTTTCTCTTTTATACTGGACTCAGTCAGGTTTCTTTGGCTGAAACTGAGACACGAAAGGGGATTTAAAATAACTACAATGAAATAGTCCTTATACGTATCTGGGAGAGCTTGACAGCCCGCTCGTGGATAGCCAATCAACTCCTGAAAAAGTGAAAACCTTTATATGAGAAATAAGATATTGATATTTATGTACTTAAAGTGAGAGGAACCCAGTTATTGGGTGCTGTTGAAGTCAGTATGGACTGCTAACAATAGAGAAAACGAATATAAGTAAAGTTGACGGCAAATTAGTCATATGTACGACAGATATCTGAAAACTGAAGCTGTGTAGTGCCAAGTTTTTCTTTACTGCCTGTTGTTATTTTTCAAGAAAGGGTGTTACGTGAAATGTAATTACTGTGATGCTGAAGCATTTACAAAACTTGGATCCCAGCCAGATAGAGCCCGCGATTCGCCATTCCGGGGCTCACATGTTATCCACTGTAGCACAGGGGTGCTTGCTTTGCTATTCTCTCAGCCAGTTTACTTCCTGGCGGTGTCATCAGAAATCATCTGCAAAGCTATGTAGTAGTCCAAATAGTGCAATACACATGGGATCGATCCCAACCTTCCAGGCCCACCAACCCCTCCATCTCTTCGGAATCCAAACGATTGGTACCAGACGTATCTGGGAGGATATCAGCACTGACTCGTGATATGTATTCAGTCACCTCGAACGTTGCTTAATGAAGTCGAATGCATGGCGCGTCTATCAGGAATAGAACAACGCCGAGAGCTTTATTCTTTTTATCCCCACCGTAGAGGTGTTATTGATAAAAAACGCTTTTTGATTGATTTTCGACCGACGAACCCCATGGTTGCCGTCCCTTGAGGACTGCAACCTCGTCCGCAATGCGTGAACCATGTTTGAGCATTGGCTCAGCCTAGCGACAAGAACTTGACAAACCAGGTCATTTGAGTTCACTGTAGCTCTTTATTGTATAATTGTCTAGCAAATTACCAATAATCCAGTGTTACTAAGAATTTTATAGGAGATTACTTGATCTATGTGCCCTCGTGACCTAAGTCACTTTGATAAAGCACTTCTATTTTGTGCGACACTGTCTCACTTATAGATCGGGAACTCGTAAAATACCCAATAAAATAGGCTTCCTCGAAGAATTTCTAAATATCTGAGTGTAACTATTGTAGCTGGAAACTCAGCAGTTTCACATAATCAGAATATTATTCATCAAAATTTTTCATCAACTCTATTTATGACCTCACATGCGATTTCGTAATCTTTACTAGCCGTTTTTTGCTAGAACATTTTTTTTTGAGTTTGTAAGAAAATGTACTAAATAGAGTGACAAATACTATTTTATCAGATTATTATACTAAGCTTTGCCGTTTAGTTGTTATATGAAGGTGTACAGAGTACAAGAGACTGTCATGTCTCATTTTCAGCGATTTAAAGAAGGTTTGACTCAAGTAAGATAGTAGCAGTCGTGGAAGCCCTGGATAGAAAGGGCGTCGCCTATTCAGTGCGTAAAGATTTTTTGTGAGCTGTATAGAAATTGCACAAGCGCAATATCAGTGCTCTATAACCATATTTAAAGTAAAAAAAGGGATTAGGAAAGGCGATACTATCTCGCGAGAATCATTTAATGCCACCGTCCAGAACGTCACACGAACACTGAAGCCAGACAACATGGATGTGAAAATCGATGGTCAGCAATTACACCAACTTCGTCTTCCTGATGATATCGTTCTTATAACATCGAACATTGGCCAGGCGGAACGAATGCTTGCCGAGTTTGATAAAACCTGTGGAAGGATTGGTCTTTGACCAAATCTCACAAGAGCGATGTTCATGAGTAACGGATTGGTTTCGTTTGCCCCATTTATGCTCAACGGACCGAATATCTCCGACTGCTCCAGCTATATCTATCTAGGTCGGGAAATGAATATGATGAACGACCTAGCTCCAGAGCTGAGCAGAAGGAAACGATCGGCTTGCGGAGCTTTCAAGAGCATCGAGGATGTAATGAAGTATCCAAAGAACACTCGATGCCGTGCCCACCTTTTCGACTCCACGATTTCTCCTGCCTTAACGTATGAGTCAAAAACCTGGTTGCTACCTAGGAGGGATAAAAGATCATTTAACATCATTGAGAACACAGTCGAAAGGGCGATACTAGGAGTATCTCGTGTCACAAAAGAAAGAAAGAATCCGAAGCTCCGATCTAAGTCAACGACCAAAAATCAGAAACGCTGTTCTATACACCAAACTGTTGAAGATAAGGTGGCCCTGAGGCGTAACGCGTATGAACGAGAACCTATGGACAAGCCGTAACGACTGAATTCTTCGAGACATCAAATCACAGCAGGGTGATTAGGGAAACCAGATGGTCAGGGTTTTCCACGAAATCCCGGAAAGAAAGATACGAGACTTATTAAGCTCCTTTAGCGAGCAGAACCCACTGGGTTACACTCGCACGCGACAGGGAAAATGGAAGATTTCCTGGAGCCCGCTAGAGTCAGCCGACGATCAGTTAGGCGATAGGTTGTGGAACTACGTTGTACGCGGCATGGATTCATCCTTCTCGAAAGTTCATACTACACTGAGGGCGAGTTTGATGTTTCGATTTCGGATATATAGTTAAAAGTTTAGAGTGAAAAAGTGATAAAGCTCTCGACGTTGATCAATCTCTGAGGGACGCGCCATGCATTCATTCTGCTTCATTAAGCATCTTTTGCAGGTGAGTGAATGCATGTACCGATATATCGAACCAGTGCTACTGTCCTGCCAGACAAATCAGGTACCAATTTGCCGACCTCGGAGTGATAGAAGGTTTGGTGGGTCATGTGTGCGGAAATCGATTCCGCGTGTGTGTTGCAACGCGCCTTCGACCACTGCGCCACACGCGCTCTTCAACTACCTTACTTCTAATTTATTGTAAGCACATCTCTCGTCTCATTGCTCTCCCACTCTCACTTTCCTTCTTATTCTTTGCCATTTTCATTTTTTTCTTTTTTGCTTGTCATACAGAAAGTTTCCATTCTTTGTGGCTTTTGATTATGTATGCTGATATACGAGTGTACGTGTGTTATATATCTGTGTATGCTCATCTGATCATGGTGTTGTTGTTTTTATTTTCCTACCCATTCTGGCTCCATGAAGGAATAACTAGCAGGACGATTGCTGACAGCACCGTTTGAATAACAACTTGCTGAGAGAAAGGCAAAGCAAACGCCTTAGTGGTGCAGTGGATAACATATGAGCCTTGGAAAGGTAACGATGGGTTTAAAACTGGTCCAGGAAGCAAGTTTTGCAAATATCGCAGCGTCATTGTGGTTGCACCTGCTAGTTGACTTTAAAAACATGATTGATGAGAGAAAGAGATGAAAGACTTCATTACTTCAAAGTACAGATTTCGAACGCAAAAGCAAATGAACAAGCAGGATTTCGCCCAGCAGAAAACAGTAGTGCTCCCAATGTCTCGTTCATGTTGGCAGAAGCAGCTGGTCAGTTGTAAACTTCAAGAACTTGAGTTTCACTTTCATTCTTTCCAAAATCTTGACCACACGTGCTTGAATTCGAAAGCACATGTGTAAAAAAATATTTAAACGACTAGTGCTAAGCAAAAAAGTCACCTCTGTAGATCTCTAACGAAGCCGCTAATACAAACGAGGCTCCTCTCACGCTGGGCTGACGAGGCCACCCTCTTAGGATTGGAAAACTTGTGGCAGACAAATCTAGGAAGACTCCTTTTCTACCCATTGTACAAAGACAACTCCCTGTGATGAAGTTGTGAACGGACCAGATTTTGTAGTTTGGCTATTCCAGAATTGTTAAACGAATCGACTCGACCAGATTTCAACGGCATTCGTAAAAAAGATTTAAACCCTCACAATAGGAGGATAGTAGCACTGATTTGAAACATCGGTGGGTCACCCTAAATCATTGTATGAGCCAAATATGCACTCAATCATTTCCAAAGATGCTTGATGAAGTCGAAAGCATGGCGAATCCCTCAAGGATTGATCAACACCGGGTCTTTTAAAGCTTTATAGGCAAGCAGATAGAAGAAAATACCTCCATTTTTTAAATGAAAAGTTTCTAATAACAAGAGATAGTTTTTTCTTTATTAAAGACCAAGCAAATAAATGGAAGGTAACAGCATCTCAAACTGAGACTTCGTCTACATACAGCAATAAGTGAATCCGTACTACTAAGCCATCGTTCCACGACAAGGATAGCATTGCTGAAATGAATGCTTTTAACCGTTTTCGTTGCATGTCTCAATTTTTTACTAACAACAAATACAAAATACAAGTGCTCAGATTCCCAGGAGAAGTGCAATTTAAGTGCAAACTTTATCGAAAACTCACAGGTAAACCAAGATCTCGCTTCTTTCTCTTTCGATTGATATTAGGGGTACAAATGTTGCAATCTTGCTAAAACAAGACTCTTAATGATGACTAGGACCGAATGAAAAACGCATTTCTAAACAATTTCTCAACAAATAACCATAAAAACTTACAAACAATAGATTTCTTTTCACTCGATGTCGACATTGTGGAAAAGCAATGCAACTCTGCTGGAAGCATTTCTTGCTTATTTACTCTTTAATTAAGATACAGCACAAATGACTTGTAACAACAACAAAGTTGTTTGAGAACTAAATCCAAACGTGTGAGGAAAAATTTCGGGCGCGTGTAACGCTGTGGTCGGAGACGCCCTGCAGTACACATGGGATCGATCTCCGCGTCCATGGCCCACCAAGCTTTCCATCCCTCCGGCATCGGAAAATTGGTACCAGACTTGTCTGGGAGGATAGCAGCACTGGCGTGATACATGGATGGACCACCGCGAGTTGTTGTAAAGGCCAGATATGCATTCAATCACCTCCAACGATACTTAAGAATGCATGGCGTATCCTTCAGGATTTAGTCAACGCCGAGAGCTTTATTACCTTATTTTTTTTTGCAAAAATTTGGTGCTTCGGTGACATTAACTGTATCGATATAAGCAGAATGATTATACGTCGGATAACAATGCCGCACATAAAGGGACGGGCCAAATTGCAAGAGACGACGCGCATCTCAAGTGGCTAATGCGACAGTGCAGTGATGTGTTTCATTGATGAAGTACAGAAATTCGCTGTTCTCTTACAGTAATAGTTTGTTATTTTATTATTTATGTCTAGTATCAGACGCTTCAGCGGATTACACCTTATTCAGAGCCTTGCTAAGGTCAAGTTGACCGCTATCTGGTCAGCCAAATGCCTCCATGATCTCAACAGAAAGGCCACGATAGTTAGATTTCAAGCGCATTTTAAGTAAAACAGCTTCTTCACATTTTTAACATTTTCTATGGGGCTTACACTGAGTCTTCCACCTGGAGATAACCGCCCAGAGTTCGCATAGTTAGGTAATGTGCCCCTTCAAATTAAAACATCAGCCTGAGATATTGTATGAGGTCATGCGTGATAACGATGCATTCCTCCCTGCTAATCATTTCTGAATTCTTGGAATTTATCGAGAGTGTCTCGAGGGTTATGTGCGCCGAAGTTTTAGATTCCTGTTCAGGGATGCTGCATTTTACTTCAAAATCTGCTCCGTTATATCTCTGCGTCCCATGCGTCCAAAGAGAAACAAGTTTAAATAATAGATGCTGCGATATTTGAAGAACTACGGACCGCAGGTGTCTGCGGTGGGGAACGAACGCGCTATTGTCCTTTCTGGGAGTAACGCATTCACCACCACACCATGCGGATCCTTCATTTCGCCTGTTTCACAGCTAGGTCTATCGATCTTCGTTTTGAAATATCTCATCATCATTGAAGTTATATTTCGCAATATATACCCTGCCATTAAAAAGAGTAGGCAGCAAATAACAAGTTAGAATTGTCATACAAGCAGTTGCAAACTGGCTGGCGTTTCAGTATGTTCGGTGGTATTTCAATCATTGCTAAAGTGCATAAGTTTAGTAACACACGCAATACCTCCGATGCGTTGATTGTTGGTTCTCCGAAATTCCTCTTCACACGTTTTCCACCTGATCCACTTCCGCATCGTTCGCATTTTCTACGACGAAATATCTGAAAATGAAACTGCGGGCGAAATTCAAATGCTTTCCACTGATACCAATTTCCTAAGATGTTTCTGTTACGAACAGAGTTGGAGATTCAGTTAGTACATTTCTAAAACTTAATTGCACCTCATCGTCACAAACGGCTGAAAAATCATAAAAAGGAAGATGGCAGAACTTGCAGGACTCCTGGATTAACTTCATGACCGGCAGGATTTTCAGCGTACATCACAAACCCTTCCAAAGTACCTCTCTTTTAACGCGTGTGTTGTGGTAGACTTTTTTGAAGATGGCATATTCGACTTCATTTAGACAATCATCGGTCTGGTCACATGTGCCTTGTTTACGACGAGGAGATTCGTCGTCGTCCTGAAACACTCCACATCATACATTTTTGTCGACATTGTTAAACATTTAACAAAGAACCGAGAGAGATTTTTCCTTTGAGCTGTTCCTAAGGTGTTATACTCTACTACTTGGAAATGGAGCGCGAGTATAGCAACGGTAGTGATTTCTGGGGAAATATTCTCTATCTTCACTTTAGCATGTCTTATATAAGCCAAGTAATCGCGTTTACTATTCCTCTCACATACTTGTTGTATTATATTAGGCCGTTAAAAAATAAAGGAGCGTTTTTAACCATATTACTTAAAATGTTAACTGCTTCAAATGAAACTTTATTAATCAAAGTTAAAGCCATTTTAATCTACACATTTTTCCAAAGAGAAACAAGTTTATTTACTCCATCTGCATAAAATTTTGGAGTTCTGGAACCGATGAATTCGTTGAAGGCATTTTTTGTGTCATTGTCGTTGATGAAGCATTTCTCGCGTAGGAAGTTGCCACGGTGCTTGAAGAAGTGATAATCGGTACGCGAGAAGTCTGATGAATATCGCGAATGAGGCAAAGTTTCGTAACCCAACTCGTTCAACTTCTGCAGTGCTGGTTCTGCAACGTGACGCCGGGCGTTGTCACGGACAAGAATTGGTCCTTTTCTGGTGACCAACGCCGGTCGTTCTTGTTGAGGTGTACGGTGCATTTCGTCGATTTGTTGGCAATACTTCTCTGCCGTTATAGTTTCGCCCGCATTCAAAAAGCTGTGATGAATCAACCCGGCTGCAGGCCACCAAACAGTCACCATAACCTTTTTTGGCGCAGTTTCGGATTTGGGATATGTTGTGAAGTCTGATCGTAATCCAACCATTGAGCTGAGCAGGATGTCGCACAGATTCCATTTCCTTTCTCACGTCACAAGCCGATCAAGAAACGGTCGTTTTTTTTGCGTGGAATAAGAGCAGATAACACTTCAAAATAGCGACTTTTTTGACTATCGTTTAATCCGTACGGCACCAACTTGTCTTGAGTTTTTTTTGTCTTTCCTATGCAATTCAAGTGAGTGAAAATTGTTCCTGTGCTTGCACGCCAAGCTGTTCTTCAAGCTCTCGAACAGACACCCGCGTGTTTGCTTCCACTAGTTCCTTCAATTCGTTGTTGTCAGGTTCATTGGGACATTAGCGGCGTTCCTTATTTTCGAGGTCGAAACCACCAGATCGAAATTTCCGGAACCATGTTTGCACTGTTAATTCACCAACACTACCTTCACCCTAAAGTTCCTTAATGTTTTGAGCCGCTTCTGCTGCACTGCGACCGAGTTTGAACTCATAAAAGAAAATTTAACGAAAATTCGTTCTTGGCATCTGAAATTGCAAAGCTCAAAATTGGCAAAAAATTTAATTTTTGACAAAACATAAAATTATAGAAAGCGCATAAAATCGGCCTTTTAATGATATATAACATTGCAAGGTACAAAAAAGGTGTTTCGTTGGTAAAAAGCACTAAAACAATAAATATTTTAAAACGTTCATTTATTTCTACCTAATAAAGCACTTCACACAACACCCGCGTGCCTGCCTTACATTCTTAGCCATCAGGCACGTCAACAGGACATGCTACCAGACACCATTCATTGCTTGGGGTCTAGACCCTACGACCCGCGGAATTCGCTTGTATGTGGGCGCGGCGCCTAGATTGGCCATCTGCATTCTGACAACGCGTGGAGTTCGCCGTTGCCTTTCATCATCGTTTTGTCCTCTCACTTAATCTTCTTCCTTCACAGCTCATTAGCTTAGGTAGTGATAATGTTAACATAAGGTTATTATCAGTTCTCATGTAATCACCACGTATTGTTGACATGATGATTTTCCCAAATACTCGCATTGTTCACAGGTACTTTTTACCTCGCAGAACCCTCCCCCTCATTGCTAAAACAACCCTGTCATCGTTATCACATTCTCGCATTGTGTCGGGCCAGTGCTGCTATCGTCCCAGATAAGTCTGGTACCAATTTACCGACCCCGGAGGGATGGTAGGCTTGGTGGGCCTTGGGCGCGGAGATTCCACGTGTGTCGCAGTGGCGCCTCCAACTTCTAGTTTATTGCAAATACATTTCTCGTCCCACTGCATTGTCGTGTAAATAGCTATGTGTAAAAACGATTTAATTACCCATGCTTGACGTGGACGCCAATTGCTTCCGTATTACGAAGACCAGCTCTTCCTCTTCGCGACAAATGATGCCTTCCAATGCCGGCAAGGTTCTGAAATGACCCCATCCCGGGTTCACTAAGCATCCCATCCGTGAGGAATTAGTGCCAAATTTGTCTGCTATCACTTCACTCCCTACAACCCACAGAAATTGGCGATCCATTGCGATGAAGATCTAAGAAGGCTCTAGCAGAGTAGCCCCAGTATTTCACAGGGAATCGACTCGACCAGCATTCAGCGACACTCATAAAGATGATCAAAATCAAGCGCAAATTCGAAGATCTTCGTGGACGATGAATGCGATGTGGAACGAATAGATTGAAGGAGATACCAGAATCCGTACATTATGTGACCTAGGGTCGCGTGAATTAAAATATTTTAAAGTATCTTAAAAAACCCAGTAATAATTGAGAATTAGCGAAAAGACTTGATAGTATTGTTGATAAATCTATTCTTTTGGAAATAAAACCTACAGGAAATCCTAGTTCATAGCCAGCTCTCTTTCGTATATCAGCGATCGCCTCAGAAATAGTCATATGTGGAATCTAGAACGTAAAATACATCTGGAGAAATAACACAATTAAGAAGGAAAAAGAAAAAAGGAAAAAACAGTAGTCAGCTAAGAAAAGGAAGGTAGGAAAAGAATATACCGCGACGGTACCTCGTCATCCTCGAGCTCATTAGAAGAATTGGTGGATCTCTTCTTTCGGCTGGCTAGTGCCAGAGTGACCCAAGCTGGGCACGGAACACAAGCCTAAGACTTTATTTTGTTTTTGTAAAGCTCACCAACAAGTAAAAGGGGTGGAACTAACGACTCTACAATCGATGATTTTTTATTTACACTCATGAAATAGAATGCTACAAGCTCACAGCATTGGCGTCAGGAGTAAAGAATTGACGCTTTTGTCGCAAATGGTATTTTTCGTGATTGTCGAACGCTTGTCTATATTCAGCTATGGCCTGAAACTGTACGCAGCTTTTAAAACAATGAATTGCTCACATACAGAATTTTTATTTGTCTTTATTTTTCCTTAACAACGCATTCATAGCGGCACCTCTTTCAGCAAGCACCCTATGCTTTGAGTTCGTTCAAAACGATCAGTCATTATGCATTGAAATCAAGGCATATCATCAAGAATATGTTGAAATCATGCCACATTTTTTTCGAAAACTAATTTTGATTCTGTACATAGATAGAGAACTAGCCTTATGGTAATGCTCCGTTCTCTCCGCGTGTCGCTTTCTTCGCTTTCGTTTAGCGAGGATACATGCCGGAAATTTCACGCAACCACTGGGACCGGCTGAACTGATCAATTAAAAGGAAATTCTGACAAAGATCACGTTCAAAATTATGTTTTAAAAATAAATTAATAAGTAATAGAGACACACTCATGAGTTAAAATGAAGAAATATAAGTGAGAGAATAGTTTTTACATCGCAGAGGTGACACAAGGTTAGTACAAAACTGTTTTTCGGTTAACGTCTCGGTGCATTCGTCTTCCTGGAAGCGGTGTTGGTACGAGTCAATGTCCCACAGTCACTCTTTGTCGAGATGTGCGTGTTCGGGGCTGTTACCGAGGTTTAATTAAAGTTAGTTTTTAAGATATAAGTGTAGAGAGTAGAAAAGGAGAAAAACAACAACGATGAGAATAAATGGATTGTGATGGGATTGGCAATGGAGTGGAACTAGTGCGCGTATCTGTGTGTATGTGTATGTCTGTGTATATGTGTGTACGTGTGTGTGTATATGTGCATGTGTGTACTTGTGTGCGTATATATGCGCATGTGTGTGTATGTGTGTACGTATGTGCGTATTTATGCGTATGTGTTTACGTGTGTATGTATGTATGTGTGCATGTGTGTATGTGTATATATGTGTTTGTGTACGTGTAAGTGTTGTGTGTGTATGTGCATACGTATATATTTACACACATGAATGTACATACGTAGCTTGGATATTTAAGTGCGCAAATGCGTGTTGTACGCGTGTGTGAACAGGGGGTAACGTGAGCGGATTTGCTCTCAAACATGGAGGAGCGTAACGACTGGTGTGAGTTTATATCCACTCATTTTCTTTCCTGCCATTTATTTCGCTGTATACCCTTTTGCACTCATTCGATAGACTATGCAACGCAGATCACTGTGCTGCACATTCAACATGGAAACGCTTTCTAGATACTGGATAATTTGTAAAAAAAGAAAACTGTTTGTCGAACAAGTTCATTTCGTTGGAGATTGTTATGGAAATGTTCGAGATGAGAGTAATCGACTTAATAAAACAAAATGAGATATTTCCAAATCAAACCTTCTGATGCCATAGTTTTGCTTAGAACTTTCACAATATCCAATATTCCACTTGGATTGTATGCTTGTCGCTTCATACGAGTAACGAGAAATTCATCAACTTCACATTCGGCACTGGTGGAGCGCTTATCACGTCGAAGGCATTTCTAAATAATGAGAATATAGAAAGTTATTTATATTATGAATTCATGTATTATTTATATGTATATATACACCCATATTTTCTTAACTGTGCATTATACAAGAGGGCATCCAAGAACCTTCAAGCCTACACCATTTGTGACCTGGTTATCCCGGTGAGCACATGAAAGACATAGTATGGCTAAAATAGCTGTTCATTTAAATGGTTGCAGAAAGTAATTTTAAAAAAAGTAAAAGTACGCTTAAAAAGTACGGATTGCGGTGTACGGTAAAGAGATAACAGTGATAGAAGGAGTATTAAAAAAACAAAGGATAACGTTCTCGGCCCAGATGAATCCTCAAAGAATGCGTCATACATTCAACTTCATTAAACACCGTTAGAGGTGACTGAATGCATCACCTGTATCACCCACAGTTCCGTTGATCGACGAGTGACTCGAGTGGGCGCCACTAAATCTTCCATTTTTCCCTGTCACGTGGAAGAGTAGCCCAGTGAGTTCTACTCGCTCTAGGGCCTCGTCGAGCATTATATCTTTCTTCTAGGCTCTTTGTGAAGAACTCTGACCATCGGGTCGATGGTCATCCTGCAGTACGTTTGACATCCCGAGGAATCCAGTCAATAACGGTTTTTGTCTATTGGCTGTCATTCATACGCATTACGTGTCTGGCACGCCTTATCTTCAACTGTTTGGCGTGCGTACAGAACCGCATCCCTGATTTTTGATCGTTGACGCAGATCGGAGCTTCGGATCCCACCTCTTACTTGTGTGGAACGGGATACTCCTAGCATCATCTTTCGACTGAACGCTGTTCAATAACGTTGAGTGATTTTTCATCCTGTTTACGCAGCAACTAGGTTTCTGACGCATGCGTTAACGTAGGAAGTACCGCTGAGTCGAAAGGGTGGGCAAGAAGTCGGGTGTTCTTTGTCCTCTTCACTATATCCTCGATGCTCTTGAAAGCTCCCCAAGCCGCTCGTTTCCTTCTGCTCAGCTAAGGAGCTAAGTCGTCCACCATCATATTGATTTCCCGACCTAGATAGATATAGCTGGAGCAGTCGGAGATATTCGTTCCGTTGAGCGTGAATGTGGCATGCGAAACCAATCCGTTACTCAAGAACATCGTTTTTGTAAAATTTACGCGAAGACCAGTCTTTCCACAGGTTTTATCAAAGTCATCAAGCATACGTTCCGCTTGGCTAAGGTTTGGTGTTATAAGGATGAAGTAATCAGCAAGGCGAAGAAGAAAGATCCGTGGATTGAATGCATATCCGGCCCAAACAATGACTTGTAGTAACGTACCGGCTTATCGAGTTAGTGCTGCTACCTTTTTAAACAAATTTGGCACCAATTTCTCGACTCCGGAGGGATGGAAGGATTGGTGGGCAGTGGTGCGGCGATGGATTCTATGTGTACCCCAGGGCGCCTTCGAGCACTGCGCTACATGCGCGAAAGAACAGTGGTGATGAAAAAGGACGGAAAGAGAGAAAGGAATGTTAAAAGTGAAAGGAGACAGACAGGCGAGCATACAGAGAATTAAAAAGGCAGCAAGCAGACAGCTCAACCTTCTGAAGCCGACAATTGATGAACAGACGAACACATAGAAGCAGACAGACGGACGCAAATAGACAGACAAAGCGATTTATGCACAGGACAAGACATACAGATGGGCCATACAGGAGATACAGAGGTCATTTTCTTAATGTCCGTTCCAAAACACAAAAATAATGGACGGATTTTTACAACTTACATCTCGTTCAACTTCTCGTTTCTTCCTTCCGTAGTATCCTCCGCTACACGGTTCACAGTATTGAGACTCGATGTTTCTTCTCACACGACGAGGCGCCAGCATACACTCAGGATGTGGAAGACACTAAAATTATGCAAGTGTTTTGAAACTTATTACGCGGAATTACACAATATTTATTATATACAGAGACTTAATGCTCAGATATTTCCATTCAATAATGTTACAAGCGAGCTGAGCACGATGCTTGAAGAGATGTAATTGTGACGAATGGAGTAAGACAATAGGAGAAACTTTTTCTTTGATAATGATGGACTATCACCAACTTCTAAAATTTCTTAAAAATTTTAAAATTTTAAAATAAAATTTAGAAAAGATACACTCAAGGCTTGCTTCGGCTATGTAGTAAATGTGGAAGTCGGTAGAAATTCAGAAACAGGAACCACCAACCAGCAAATGTAAGATCTACTCTGAGCCAGAGACCATATATCTTCCTTCTAAACTTAACCCGTTTGTCACGTAGTCTAAGGATGAGGAGATGATCATAGTGAACATTTGTTTAAATCAGTCGCTTGTCCATCATTATGCTGTAATGCCAAAACATATAGCAGTATTTCGAAACCGACTTTCCCTGAACCTCGGTGTCACTAATCAATATGTATTCTTTCTTTGATGAGCTTACACGAGGTTGGTAATGATGTTTATTTTGTATAAACCTATATAAACCTATAAACCCCTTGTATAAAAGGGCATCACTGAGTAAGGATGCCTCATTCGACGAGATGGCTCACTGAAGAAGACCTAACTCGACACGAAGGCGAAGCTGCCACGTCGAGGCGAATAAAATCATGGACCATCGACTCGGATCATCGGCTCTGAGGAAGACGAAGACGTCGAAACGTTAGCCGAAAATAAACATCATTATCAACCTCGTATAAGCTCATCAAAGAAAGAATACATATAGCAATATGTTCCGGTAACACCTATGGCTTTGTGAACAACGAGAATTCGCTAGGAAGATTCACCACTGAGAATAATTCTTGGCTAGTAGTTTAGAGTATTACAGTACCTTTCTGTTCCAGTAGGATAGTTCTAGTATGGCAAACCAGACACCGGAATAAACTCCAACGGGAAAAACATCTCAATTTAAAGCATACAACGAGATTCGCTCCTCAGCTCTACGACTTTGTTGTATCCATGAGTAATGCCCTCTTTCTTGTCCGTAACCAAGAAATACACGCAGTTCCTTCTGAACCTGGTATTTTGAAGAATAAAAAACACTGCTTCATTAGTAAAAATACACGTACTGAGCGATTTTTCAGATAAATGATTCCGTCCGATCCTTATGAAGTAAAACTGTACAAGAGCAAAGAACTTCCGACTAGGTTTCCAACTAAAGTATTCTTTCCATTGCCATCGCATTCATGTAAATGAATGCTTTTCGGATAGTACTTTTAAAGTTATTTAAGTAATTCCTTTCTGGTTCCACTTAACAAACATTTCGAATTAAACCTAAACGATTTCCTCAATGATTTGATTGACGCTGGCTGCAAAACTCAGACTCCCGGTCAAATTCTGCCAAAAATAGAATAGACAAAGCAACCAGAAGGCGACAGTAGTGCAGTGCTAAGACGTGAGTCCTCGGAAAAGGTAATCGCGGGTTCGAATAGGGCCTGTGGTCCGAGTTTTCAAATATCTCAGCATCACTGTAGTTGTATTTCACATAACACCACGAATCTCTCTCATACAGAGATCTCATGCCGGATAGCCGCGAGACAAAGTTAAGGAACCGCACGTGACATATAGGGGATTAATCTCGGAACAAAAGCGACCTTCGCTTCCCTAAAACGCAGATGGATCCAGGGATGGACTCCCTATTTCGGCACTGGGTATGTCGACCCTCAGCCAGACCTCAAAACACGCTGACTCATGTTACAACATGTTACTTTTCTGAATGCAAGGATCCTACTCAGTGGAAGATCACCACAACTTCGAAAAAAGGAACCTCCACGATTTCGGCAACTATCGTCCAGTCTGCTCACTGTTTCCCGTCGCAAACTTTTCACTTGAGTCATCTTAAACAGGATTAACAGAACACTATGCGAAAGACGGCAACGTGAGGAAGCAGGATTTCGAAATTGGTTCGGTACGATGGACCACATCTACATGGCAACAAAAGTCATTGAAGTATCGCAGAAGCAAAGATACAGCTCCGTCTCATTTTAATCCATTTTCAAAAAGCCGACTTAGTTGAAATAGAAGCAGTCACGGAAGCCCTGGGGAACCAGGGTGTCCCTACTCAGTACATGTATCTTATAGTATATATCTTCTCCTTGGTGATGACATCGTTCCTATAATATTAAACATTGGCCAAAAAAAAAGAATGCTTGGCGAATTTGATTAAGCTTGTGGAAAGATTAGTTCTTGACTAAATATCACAAAAACGATGTATGAGGAAAGGACTGGCTATGCATGCGTCATTCACGCTCAACGGAATGAATTTCTCCAAATGTTCCAGCTACGCCTATCTAGGTCGGGAAATTAACATGATGAACGGCTTAGTTCCATCGATGAGCAGCAGGCAGTGAGCGGGTTGGGGAGATTTCAAGAGCATTGAGGATGTAGTGAAGAGAATAAAGAACGCCCGGCTCCCCTCCCACGATTCTGCTCGTCTTAACGTATACGTCAGCAACTTGGTTGCTGTGTGAGAATGATGAATCATCATTCATCGTTACTGAACGCCCAATGGAAAAGACGATGATGGGGAATCCCGTGCTACGTAAGGAGATCTGAAGTGAAGGAAGAGATCTGAACCTCCGATCTGCGTTAAAGCGATAGAGGATAAAGCTCTTCGCCCTGCTCAATCAGTGAGGGATGCGCCATGCATTCCACTTTACTAAGCATCGCTAGAGGTGGCTGAGTACTTATCTGACCTACACAATGACTCCTAGTAGCTTACCGATGTATCAAGTTAGTGCTACTATCTTCCCAGACAACTCTGGTTCCAATATGTCGACCCCGGATTGATGGAGAGGGAGTGTGATCCATTCTATTTGTACTCCGAGCGTCTCTAACCACTATGCCGGTCTGCTGGTCTACGTCAACGATTAAAAATGAAAGGCGCCGTTCTGTACGCCAAAACGTGAAGTTAAGGAGGGCCGAACACGTAATGCGCATGAACGTCAGTCGATGAACAAGAGCCGTTAGTGACTGAATTCTTCGGGATGTCGAAACAACTGCAGAAAGACGACCGACCCACTAGTCAGAGTTCTTCATAAAAACCCTAGAGAAAAGATACGATGCTACGAGTGATATATGCAACGAGTCCCTAGAGTGAGCAGAATCAACCGAACTACTGTTGCAGGTAACAGGAAAAGTGGAGAGTTTACTGGCCCCGGCTTAAGTTACTCGACGATCAACGGAATAACAGGTGACAGGATATCCTGCATGAAGAAATATTAGGTAGTAAATAAGAAGTTTTAGATTGTCATTTCTACTATACCCTCGGCTTAGCTCAATTTCAGTGTGAACTTGTGCTCTCCAAATCATTCCTATTGGATGGTGATTGTTGATGGCACCGTTATGGTAGAAAACTTGCTCAGAGGAAGGCAAATTGAGGCTCTCGGTAGTACCGTGAGTAAGACATGAGCTCCTGGGGTCATCGCAGTTCCATCCGGCCTGTAGTCCACGTTTTGCAAGTATCTCAGCATCACTGTGATTGTATTTCACATAATACCCTGCCATAAATAAATAGCACGTAGTAAATAGGAAGTTATACCCACTACCGACTTCCTATTAACTTCGGCATTAGTAAATAATTCTCCGTATTTTCGTTGAGCAAACACGGGGTGCTACTTTATTCCTTATCCCGTTAAAACTGATGTTTGGGCTGTATCGCCTTCGTCAAAACCCGGAAGGGTATATTGATAGGCAATTTACTATGTCAAACTTCTCAATAACAAAAGGGAAATATGAGAATCTGAATGGTTATCACATGATCGTTAAAAAGTTATAGACGTTCTGCTTAGTTGTCACCTTTACAACGTTTGGTATGGGCGTAAACAATTAAGCAAGTGAAAAATAAAAAATGAACCTAGAAAAACGCACTCCTGCTCTTTTCTGTCTAAGATGCGGCGGAAGTATGCCGACTGGAGACATCGGTGGCAATTGAACGGCAAACGGATTGTTGGCGCTAACTGTTGGTTGAAGGTAAGTGCAACGAACACAATCCAGTGATCGTTTACTTCGCTTGATGATTGGACGTCCATCAATACAGATGGCACACTGAAATCGCAATGGTTAATTTAGCCGGATAGGAAAACTAAGCTCTGCAATATTCAGCAGGTAATTCGCTGCGGAGCGTATAGTGAAGTAGTTAGAGGTCAACTACAATGTACCTACATGATCGCTCGGTGACTCTTACTCACTAGACTAAGTAAACCTCTCATTCTCACGGGAACGGCAAATTAGTACCGGACTTGTCTGGGAGGATAGCATCACTGACTTGATACCGCATGCCATTGCAGAGGCCAAATATGTATTCTGTTACCTCTAGGACTAGTGGACTCGTATGCATAGCGCATTCTTAAAGGATTACTCAGTGATAAACTTTTTTTCTTCATCTTTTCAAATTATGATTGGATTGAGTAGAATGAAGCAAAATATGAAAGTGCTTGAATTAAGTGAAAACAATGGCTTCCATTTACTCAGAAATCGTTTTAAGTTATCAGATGTTTCCACTTCATTCCTTTCCCACTAATGGTTTCCTTGCTCATGCTTGGTGCGCACTGTTAATCGATGCCAGATTGCGATTTTTAACGGAAGGTTCATTTCCAGTCTCTCTTGTTGAGGACGAGTTCAATATTTCGATCCAGAAAACCATCTGATTCAGCCAATGCTACGGCAGAGTTAAGCAATCTTCAAGTGATTGTTTCCCCCTTTAGCAATGGAGTAAATTCTAGTCCTTAAAAAAGTAAAAATCAAGTATTCGTTCACCAAAATAGTAAGCCTCTTCGCACACTTGACTACTATTAGCCCACTAGGCAGTTCTACTATATGACAGTAAAGAAAGAATCTCGTGTAGGCTTTTCAAAAAAAAATACGTGTTGATTAGTAATACTTACCTGAAACTTGAACGTCCCGTCCTCACTAGTTTTGCGGACCCCAGCATAGTCGCCACCTTTCGGAGATTTGCTGGTTAAGCCATTGTGGCTCCCTGGAATCCCGAGGACAGCCTGACCAAAGCATGCTCCAAGTCGTCAACACAATAGGCAGTCGCAGCCTTTGTGGGTCAGAGGGAGAGTTGCCACCATGAGACTTTGACACCAGGACGGTGGTGGATCCTGGCATTGGTTTACTCTTAGCTAGGCTTCCTGATGGAAACATCGGACTCCTCAGCTTAGGAGGCTTTGCCACGGTGACGAATCCCCCGTTGTACAACGCAGTCCGACACCCAGTAACACCTCTCACCCACGATAAGGCGGTAAACCGTTGGGAGGTTGATTAGTAATACCGAGGTTAAAGCAAAGTCGGTTTTAAAACACACTATGATCACATCACTGGGAATGCAGAGGATGCAGGAATCTACCTATATGCTGAGATAAGGAGCGAAGGATTAAGCCTTCGATGTTGATAATTCCCGGAGAGATAAGCGATTCAAGTTTATCAAGTATCGTAAGAAGTGTAGGAATACATATCTGGCCTATACAATGACCTAGGGTGGCTTACCTTGTATTAGGTCAGTGCTTTAACCTTCCCAGATACATTTGACACTAACTTCCAGCCCTGAAACGATTGAGAGCGCGTAATCGAACCAAAGACGACGTGCAGAGCACCTCTAACGACTGCATTATGGGCCTCCCATAATTGAAGAGTAAAAAGCAGTTTGCAATAGAAAAACTCCTCACAAGATGCATTTGTTTTAGAAATAAATAAGACTTAAGAAATCAGTGCAGTACTCACTCCGCCACGTTTTACTCTTCGTGCACGATTCTGTTCGTATAGCCGACCGGCCCGTGGTGGCTGCTCTACACCCTGCTGCAAGAATGACAACTAGACTATTGTCGCCGAGATTTCACGCAGAACAGGAAGAGACGAAGAATTGGAAAAAAAAAGGAAAGGTAAAAAAAATTATGAATGAGAAGAAAAAATTACTAACAGGTTTATCGCTCACAGTAACTGAATCCGGTTCGCTCTTTCGGACGAATTTCGGTGAACCTTCAGCAGTTTCCGCCAATTTTTCAGCAGTTCCGTCTATAATTCGGCCATTTTTCACATGTAACGGTAGCCACCCATAGAGAAACCCTAGTTATGCCGAAAATTTAAAAACATATTGTTAATAATGTTCTAAGTGGGTATGGTAGTCGTAAGCTCGTTATTTTTAGTAGTAGAAGAGCGAAAAAAATCTAAAGACAGAAAAAGTACCTACTTTATTTTTCGATAGGATCAATACGAAACAGCTCGGAATGATAAGTGCTTGTGCAATAATGGTAGTGTTCTACTATCTATGAAAAATGTTCATACTAGTGATATTACTTACAGCAAATGTAATTAGAATCTATGGTTCCTGAGTGTCGCGCTGCGTTGCATAGCGGGTGGATTCATCTTTCCGGCAGGGTCTCCCATGCTAAGAATGAGTCCGGCGTTTCCATTAGGAAGCCTAGCTAAGAGTAAACCAATACCAGGGTCGACCACCATCCTGGTATCAAAAACGCATGATGGTAAATCTCCCTCTGATCCACAAGACTGCGACTGCCTGTAGTGGTGAAGACCTGGGGCAGACTTTTGTCAAGCTGACCTCGGGACTGCAGGGAACCATAATGGCTTAACCAGCAAATCTTCGAAAAATGGAGATTATGCTGGGACCCGCACAACCAGTGAAGACGGGCCATCCAAGAATCCAAATAGGTCATTAGATTAAGGAGAAAAAAAGGTATAGGAGCATTATTTAGCAAATAATAAACCGTCACATACACAAGTACAAAAGTAAGCAAATAATGGAAAATTTTCTTAAAAAATCAGTGTTTCATAGTGTTTTAACAAACGAATACCTGGTTGACAGTGCAACGCATCATGACGTTTAGAACGTTTCCCCAACATTATTCGTTTACGACAAGGACACTTGGGGCATGCGCTAAAATAAGTAAAAAGTTGTTTCTAATCATTAGGCAAGTGTTTTGGAAGAACTATTGATTGGTTTGGAAAAAAATCGATACCTATGAACAGAAGTATTTTGTGGCTTAACTTCGAACGATTCCATTTCTTTCTCTAATGTTTAAAGTTATCTCCTACTTTTTTCCATTTTTCATCTCTACCATCTACGTAAGCTACTCTCTTTTAGTATTCGACGATTCATAAAAAAGAAAAATATTTTAACGTAAAACTCCATTATTATCTTCCATTAGCAACACTCCTTACTGTACTACTAACTAGAATAGAAGCTAATAACTATTGTTAAACACTAAAATGAGTACGTCTCCTAGTAGATCCCACGACCGACTTTCTATTAACTTCGGAATTGAACAAATAGTTCTCGATATTCTTGCTAAGCAAACACGAGGAGTTACTTTATTCTTTATTCACGAACAAGCTGACGTTTCGGCGGATTTCGCCTTCCTCAGAGCCTGGTAAGCTCAAGTTGACAGCAAGAAAACTGGCTTCCACTCCTGAGCGTCCAAATTAACCTTCAGAAAATGGCTACATTACGAAGTGGTACCGAAAGCCAAGTAATAAAAACATCTAGGTTCATTACCTCTCCTCTCACCCCTCTCACACGAAAAGGGCGCTTGTAAGAAACATGTTTCGAACAGCTACCAGTGTGTGCATGGGAAGAGAGCAGGGAGAGGAGTTCCGGAATTTGGCACGGCAAATAACCATTTCTAATGGCTACGAAACTGTAGCCCGGGATAGATGTAAGGAAAATCCTAAGCCCCCAAACGGCAACTCCAGCGATGAAAAGGTTCCATTTAATCTACCATTCATCTCAAATGATGTAAGTGCAGCTATAAAACGCTGCTTAAGAAGGGCTGGTCTAGAGAATTCGGTAAGTGTAGTTGAAATGCCACCGAGTACTCATAGGCGCCACCTAGTTCGCAACCGCCTATGTGACCGTCTATGTGCAAGGCAGAATTGCATAATTTGCCCCAATGGTAGAGACGGTGACTGCATGAGTTCGGGTACAGTCTATCTGATCTCTTGTAAAGCGTGTGGGGACGAATACGTTGACGAAGCGTGTGGACCACTCTGTGTGCGTATAAAAGAATACCTAGTCGGCAAACGCAAACCAAATACCCCACTAGGCACGCATAGGACCCAGAGACATAACGGGGCGGACTTTGAAGTACGTGTCACGATCCTCGCACAGGAATCGAGAACACAAGCGTGAAAAACTCTCGAGGCGTTCTGGATTAATTCCAGAAATCCGAAAATGAACCACAAGGAAGAATATCTCATTATCACGCGTGGTATTGGGCAGTATATAAGCTTGTCATTCTGATGGGAGAGGCACATTACGCTTCCATGTGAATTCTGCGCGGTTGGTCTCCACGTGACATATCCAGTGGAAGACTCATAGAAAGCGGTGAGTGTGCAAAGAAGAGCTATTCTGTGTTCAATGTGATTAAAATCCTGGTTTAGCGTTTTCTCTGTTTGGTTATGGAGGTGTTTGGTCTGATAAATTGCTGTCAACTTGACATTTCCAGGCTCCGAGGAAGGCAAAATTTGCTGAAACGTCAGCTTTAACAGAATAAAGAATAAAGTAACATCTCGTGTTTGTTCAACAAGAACATCGAGAATAAAATGAGTATTTTGTGAGAAAATTTTTGTCCATATGTATATGGTGCGATACAGCCTGTACTAAATGGCGGTTTAGCAGACCGATCACAGCTTAGTTACCTTTTTGTACGAAATTTAATACTGTTATGTGACACACCGTAGGCAAGGAGGTACGGTAGCCAAACAATTCAAAGTTGGTAGAGGAATGACGGGACAACACGGAAGTGGTGGTGGACAGCATGGTTTTCCTTGATTACAACAGCTTGGATTCTGATAGTAACAACACGGTCGGGCGCATCCACAATCTGAACATTTGAAATTGTCTAAAACAAATCCTCGAAGCTAAAAAATCCTATCGATATTTGAGAATAAATCATTACTCAGTTTTTTGCACCTACCTGGATTGCCCGGGCTGGATTGATGTAGTTATTTTTTCTAAACGTAAATAACACGGGTTTTGTAAATTTCATAAATAACTGCTAATCGGTCAGTTAGAAAGTTATATGGCACAGCTTCAAATAACAAATCTACCACCAAACGTAAATGAACACCAAATAAATTTTTTGTATAGAAATCGCCAGTTGACCTCCATCTATCATATGAACTTCTTTATTGAGTTCAAATCTCTCATTCAGCTGAAAAGGTCATAAAAGTCTTCCATAAAGTCATCTACAGTGGAGAAATAACACCGAACCAAGCTCAGAAAACACCAGACCGGTGACCTACGCACGAATTCAGCTCAATTTTTTTTCAAAAGCAAGCTGCACCGAGGGCATTTCTTTAAGTCTCCATTCGGAACAATAATTAAGGAATACTGTTCACTACACGGTGATACTTACAAACTTTTTATAGAAATGATCTTAAACATTCAAGACCTGTAACACGCACTACAATGTTTCTTTTCGTAAAAACATGAAAAGGTGCATTTAGCTTATCACGCTTCCTCCTGTATACAACGAAAAATCCAGTTTGCGCATTTTTCGCTTTGAACTAGATGCATATTGACAATGCAGTGTTTTCAAACATCACCTCCTCGTGGGCACTGATTACATGGCGTTCTTGGATACTGCTCTCCGGCACAACATTGGACTGGCGGCTCCGGTGGCGGTGGTGGAGGTGGAGGAGGTGGTGGAGGTGGTGGTGGGACTGGTGGAGGACAGCATGTTCGCGGTGGCGGCACGACTGGCTAGAAAAATTAGAAACCGACTTCCCATCAAACAAAGTCGTATTTTTTCTTAGTGCAGTTATTTGCTTACAATGCCATTTCAATATTTTCTTGTGAAAGAATAAATCATGGTGACCGTGACAAAATCAGAACATAGAAATTACTTGAATGACTTCAAGGCAATATAAATTTAAGGTCATACCGGTCCACCTGGAATTTCTTCTTCGATTTCTTCGAACTCAGGACGTTGACCTCTGCAACATAAGCACTCATTTTTGATTTCCGAACCTCATTTGATGTATGGTGTTTCTGTTTCTAACCCGTCTCAAAGATTCGAAAAAACTTTAGTGGCTGCGTAGCACAACCAAAGTTGTTGGAAAGGATGTGAAGCGCATAAAACATAAGAGGTTTGTGTTGGTCAATCGCTCAGGAATATGCCATAAACTGAATTTCATTAGCTATAGAAAATATTATTGAATTCATACTTTGCCTAGAAAGTGGCTCACGGCAGTCTATGCAGTCTATCCATTAGTAATTTCATCCTCTCGGAAGAGCATGCTTAGCACAGTGGCTAGGGGTGCCTTAGAATAAACATGTGGCATCTGGTTCGATACCGTTCCCTGAGCTCACAAATCCTTCTATCTCTCCTGGGACGCGAAATTGATTGCGGACTAAATTGGGAGGAGAGCAGCAGTAAACTGGCACATCCGTAGGCCATCGCAAGTTATTGTAAGTCATGGTATAGGCCTAATATGCATTCAGTCACCTCTACGATGAATCAATGAAGTCAAATTCATACTGCATTCTTCAGAGGTTGATCAGCATCGAGTGCTTTATCTTCCTTGTTACCATTTCAGACAAGCTCCTCCCAACGGTTTACCGTCTCATCGTGGTTGGGAGGTGTTCCTTGGTTTCGGACTGCGATGTACAGAGGAAACGTTCATCCCACAGTAACGTTTCCCAAGCTGAGGAGACCAGCGCTTTTATGAGGAAGCCCAACTAAGCGTAAATCAGTAGCAGAATCCACCACCGTGATGGTATCAAACTAGTCACATGGTGCCAAATCTCCCTCTGACCCACCAGGGAGGGGACTGCCTGTGGTGGTGACGACCTGGGGCGGACTTTGGCTAGGCTGTCCTCGGGACCCCAGAAAGAGAGCCACAATGGCTAAGCCAGCGAAACTGCGAAGATAAGGAATTCTTCTGGGGCCCGCAGAAGTAATGAGAACGGGGCGTCCAAGTATCCAAGTAATTCAAGCAAGGCTGTACCAAATTGACAACCCCAGACAGATGCCGCGGCCGTTTGGCCAGGTGGCAGGATCAAACCAATGACATCGTGAATATAATAGTACGTTTCTGACCACTATGTTACACGCGTTCTTCTTTATACTGGCAATGGTATTCATAAATATTTATGTTGGTGCACCATACAATCTGCAGACCGGTTTGAACAGAAGGCTGCAATCAAGACACTTGAGAATGTCCAGGAGCAGTAATAATAATGAAGGATAAAGCTCTCGGCGTTGATTAAGTCCTTAGGGATGCGCCATAAATTCGACTTCATTAGGCATCGTTTGGAGGTGATTGAATGTATATCTGGCCTTTAGAATGACTCGCGGTGGCCTACCGATGTATCCAGCCTGTGCTGCTATCGTCCCAGACAAGTCTGATACCAATTTGCCGACCTGGAGGGATGGAAAGTTTGGTGGGCCAGGAGTGCGGGAATCGATCTCATGTGTATTGCAGGGCGCCTCCAATCACTGCGCCACAGGCGACCTTAACAGTCATAGTAACCCACGAAAAGAAACCCCATTTTAGCGCGATATTCAGGCAACAAAGGAAGTTCTCTAGATTACAACCCACAAGGCGACAAATCCTTCCTACACAGTTTGTAGCTTTGGAGTTGTTTATTTGAATTGGACGGTGGTTGAGAAGAAAGTGCGTCCCACCTACAGCAAGGATTCGGACAACAGTTAGGCGTAGCTGGACAACACGGACCGTAGGCTGGTTGACAGCATGGTTTCGGAGGAGGTGGAGGTGGGCAGCAAGCTAGCGGTAGTGGTGCACTGCTACAGCATTCTAAACACTAAGTAACATTACGTGAGGAACAAAACTGTTCATTGATGTAAAAAGTCTATCGTCGTTTCTTTTCTTATCCTAAATGATCAACACGGAGTTCATCTACCACATAGCGATGTCTTATTCTAATATAGCAACAGTCGATGAGGATATAGAAACTAATACAAACATAAAAGTTAGGAGAACTTAGGACCGTTTATTCTTACAAAGCCTCTCGCTATAGTGAACGTGAACATCGTCAGCTTATCATTATTAAGAATTTATAAGCTTTTGAAATAAATAGAGAATTCGCACCACTGCTACAGCAAGCTCGACCAGGGAATATATCACATCCACTGCATCCGCACGAACACCGTTTCCGACGAGTAGTCCTATAAGCTAAGTGTTCATAAGGGTTGACTAACGATCGATGGAAAAAATAAACCATAGGTTGATTTGTTATAGAAGTTTCGCAAGTCCGAACATGCTTTACGGACTTCGATCGGACGAGATTTCAATAACAGACGAAAACAAAACAAAATTCCTAAGTCGGACAACAGAGAAAATACTCTGTTAATTGATGCACTACAGAAATTTCAGACACCTGAACATTCGTCACTTAGGTGATGTGCAGGAAAAAACTCGATGGGAGGGAAATGTAGTCGAAACCGAAGATTATGCAACTTCTCTGCAAATTTTTACAACCAATTCTAAGATAGACACCTTTGCAATCGTGGCCAAAAAATAGACTGGTTAAGTTCTGAGAAAAACGGAAATAACAATGGGTTAAAAACGGTAGAAAGAGGTTTCTACTAGCCAGTATTTTATTTTGAATTAAATCAAATTAAAGTTAAGGAATGAATCATTAAAGTCACCACCACAGTCCAGATATAGCAGTAGAATAATTTCAGTACAAGAACCTTGAAGTACCTTACACTCAACGGTACCATATTACTTTCATTAACGACGATGGCATGCAAGGGTCGGTCATATGAGCGAAAACGTGATTCCCACTTCACTGAAAAGATTTAAGACTTTTTTAGACAACTTTCTTCTCCGACAAGTTTTTTTTTCGTAGCCGACAACTAAAAATTAGCTCCACCTTTGTTCAAAAATAGAGTATCAGCATGATAGTCTGCGATCTCGCTCAAGTCGTCGGCCCAAACTGTAGCTGCCAAGGTGACGATAACGATAAGAGACGAGCATCCAGATGGCTTTGACATTAGTTAACAAAGAGTTCTCTTAATGAGATGATTGGTTAGGTCACCTGTAAGCTTTTTTGTATCTCGATGGTATTTAAAAAGTTTGAACAACTTTACTGATGTTTCTTATCGTATTCTACCGTTGTTACAACAGCATAGCAATAGATGGAAAAGTCTACAATTGAATGGTTACTCCTATTTTTTTTCGAAATATTCATTATTGGAAAAAGGGAAAAGAATTTTAATGAAATCATGAAGCTTCTGAATAGATTTGATATAAAAAGTCTATCTCTTAGATCATATGGTAAATTAGTTTCTTTCCCATTCTGAAAATGTCTACCGCTCTAGTTGACAGCTGATGATTGCAAGAAAACAAATCAATAAAAAAGACTCTTAGTTTATACATAGTGCGGTTCACCTTAAGAATTCTGGATAGAAATATGCATTTGGCTGATATCACAGATGCCATACAATAATGGAAAGCTTTATGAAATTCGCTTCCGATACAAACACTTGGTCACGAGTCGTGTGGATCATGGATGTACATAGATGAGCGACGGATAGCAAAGATAAGGAAAACAAGTTGAAACAGAAAGCAGAGCTGGATCTCGCGGGTCGGGATCGGGATCCGTGAGCGGTGAAAGCATAGTATAGCAAACTCTCACCTATTGTGAACCGGCTTCTCAATGATAATAACCAATCCGGTCGATGATCTGATAAGTGCTACGGCTAAAAGCTATGAAAACCTATTATTGAGTTCAGGTTCTCCGCTCCTTTTTGAGTTCTTGTTTAGGCCTTAATCATGCTCTGATTACATTAAGAATGGCAACAATACGACATCGAGATGTGACAGGCTCCATCTCAGTTAGATTTGCACAAGCCGAACGTAATTATACTTCAGATTTCCTTTCTTGGATACTTAAACGGCCCATTTTCAAGAGCTGTGCAGATCCTAGCACATTTTCCACTCGTTCCTCTCTCGTGCATCATCGCCATGGTGGTAGTCGGCATCTTACACGGAGATGTCTGCGAGGAACCATTCCGTAATCCCGAAGCCATTACCATCTGCGAGTGCGGATGGTTGGTAGTAGCCACGAACATATTTACCTATCGTTTGGGTGTTCTCGTAGAGGACGCTTGCATTCCTAAAGTCCACTCCACAGTTCTTTTCTTCTATCTGTCGCTTGTTCTTCTTATTATATGATGGGCCCATGTATGTTTTACTACCGATGTGTGTAGTCCTGGATATCGAAGATTGGTAGACTTCGATAATCAGAGCTTCGCAGCCCGGCAAGATTGTGTATGTGGCGGTTATATTTCAGAAGACGCCGTTTAGGAGCTCTGTGGGTCGTAGTGGGCAGTATTCTTGACGTGGCTGAGGTACAGCCCATGTCTGGGCTGATTCCTAAGATATACACCAAGGTTATTTGAAAATCGCTCACATCAAGCTTTTGGTGGCGGACGTAGAATAGTGTTGAGAGGTACCTTACAATACACATATGGCCTTTGGTTCAGTCTCGGGGTCTGGTATAACCAAGCCTACCATCCCATCCGGGTCAACAACTTAGTACTTAGGGAGATAATTAAAAAACATTTACTATATCCGTAGGACTTTGTAACTCATTTTATAGGTAAACTATGTATTCAGTGAACTCTACGATGCTTGGTGAAGGCAAATAACGCTTTCTCAAATCTTCCGTGCTCACTCGAGTAACAGAAGTAATAATGGAGGAACATCTCTTAATAACTCGAAAGACCGACTTTCTATGTACCTCAGCATAGATAGTTGATATATTTATTTATGTGATCTTATAAACTGATCTTCTTAAGCCGACGCGAGGTTGGTACAAATCTTTGTTGACGTTGTCGTTGTCGTTGTTTTTGATGTTATTGAACGATGGCTGACGTTTCGGCGACTTCGCCCTCCTCAGAGCCTGGACGTACTTTATGTTAGAATACTTTTTATTATTCGGTGGAAAAAAAGGTTAAAATATTAATGAAGATCAAACTTTCAAATAGACGCCATATTGAACGGAAAGGCCACTCCCCGTGATGTTAGGTGCGCGACTGGCCCACACGTAGTTCACGCGAGCAATTCACGCCCCAGAGTCAAAATATCATTTTGAAATAGGGCGCCAAGTCACTCGTGATAGTGAGACATTCGTCCTTCCGGTTCATCTTTGGATTTTTGAAATTTATCCAAAGCGCCTCAAGAGTTTTGCGCGTTGATGTTTTCGATTCCCGCGCTAGGATCCGCACATTCACTTCAAAATCATCGCCGTTGTGCTTTTGTGCCCTATGCGTACCTAGAGGAGTGTTTAGACGGATTTTAACTTTTCCATCCAGGTGTTCTTTTATGCGGATACAAAGCAGTCTACCCGTTTCCCCAATATATTCCTCGCCGCATGCATTACATGAGATCAAGTATATTATACCTAAACTCATGCAATTCCCGTCCCTCCCGTTAAGGCAGATCACACAGTTTTCTGAGCTGCATAAACGATCATAGAGACGGTTTCGAACTAACTGGCGGCGTAGGGTATTGGGTGGGATGTCAACAATCGTTACATAATAGTTACAAAATTATGTAATGATTATTGACATCCCACCCAATACCCTACGCCGCCAGTTAGTTCGAAACCGTCTCTATGATCGTTTATGCAGCTCAGAAAACTGTGTGATCTGCCTTAACGGGAGGGACGGGAATTGCATGAGTTTAGGTATAATATACTTGATCTCATGTAACGCATGTGGTGAGGAATATATCGGNAACGATTGTTGACATCCCACCCAATACCCTACGCCGCCAGTTAGTTCGAAACCGTCTCTATGATCGTTTATGCAGCTCAGAAAACTGTGTGATCTGCCTTAACGGGAGGGACGGGAATTGCATGAGTTTAGGTATAATATACTTGATCTCATGTAACGCATGTGGTGAGGAATATATCGGGGAAACGGGTAGACCACTTTGTGTCCGCATAAAAGATCATCTAGATGGGAAAGCTAAAATCCGTCTGAACACTCCTCTAGGTACGCATAGGCACAAAAGCAGAACGGCGATGATTTTGAAGTGACTGTGCGGATCCTAGCGCAGGAATCAAAAACATCGACGCGCATTTTGAGGCGTTTTGGATAAGTTTCAAAAATCCAAAGATGAATCGGAAGGACGAATGCCTCACTACACGCGTGACCTAGCGCCCTATTTCAAAATGATATTTTGACCCCGAGGCGTGTCTTGCTTGCGTGAACTACGTGTGGGCCAGTCCCGCACGTAACATCACGGTGAGTGATCTTTCTGTTCAATATGGCGTCTATTTGAAAGTTTGATCTTCATTAATACTTTAACCTTCTTTTCCACCGAATAATAAAAAGTATTCTAACATAAAGTACGTCCAGGCTCTGAGGAAGGCGAAGTCGCCGAAACGTCAGCCATCGTTCAATAACATCAAAAACAACGACAACGAAGATCTGTACCAACCTCGCGTCAGCTTAAGAAGATCAGTTTATAAGATCACATAAATTAATAATGTAGGGTTAACGCGTTGCAAATGAGAAACAAGGAGGAAATAGAAGCCGAACTGAAAACTTATTTAGTTCACCAGCTATTTAGACAGAAAGAAAGCGGTTTATCGTTTTCTGAAGCCGATAAGTGGCTGCGATTTCATTTGTTTCTAATGTAGCG